TTTTTGATTGCAAAAAGAATATCGGTGTACTCTCTAGAACTTAATAAACATCTAGTATCAATGGATGTAGTCCTTTCAGAGAATATATTGTTATTCTCCTTACAGTCCAATTCTATAGATCAGGTAAAGGATAATAAGTGACTCATCTATAAATTCCAGCATAGGACCTCTACGGAGCAACTAAATAATGATATTTTTTTTGTGCCTTCTGAGCAAATTGATGATGGTGTGCCTCCAACTCAAGAACTACTGCCAATTATTTATATTTATTTCAGAAGACAACAGATTAATGATACATATCCTGCATTAGCTTTTTCATCATCTGATCATTCCACCCATGATCTTAATCTTCCCATAATTCTTTATAAAGGTACACGTCAATGTACCATTCCTCATTCTCCTTATCCCATTGCTAATTTCATTTCATATATCACTTGTCTGCTTCGTCTACCTCTTTAATTACTTCTATATATTCCACTTCTATACCCAAAACAGTTAAAGAAGCTCTGAATCACCCTGGTTGGCATAATGTCATGTTTAAGAAAATAAATGATCTTAATGATAATCATACATAGGATTTGATAGATTTACCCAATAAAAAAAAAGTTGTAGGGTGCAAACGAATATTTGCAATCAAAGTAAATCCAGATGAATTTGTGACAAAACTTAAAGTTCGATTGGTAGCAAAAGGTTATGCTCAAACTTATAAGGTAGAGACTATTCTGATACATTCTCTCCAATAGCCAAACTTACCCCTATCTGTTTATTCATATCTATTGCAGCCTCTCGAGATTGACCCTTACACCAGGTGAATATTAAAAATACATTTTTTCAAGGTAATCTCTTATAAAAAATGTATATGGAGCAACCACCTGAATTTGTTGCTTAGGAGGAGTATGGAGAGTCTATCATTTCAAGAAATCTTTGTATGGTTTGAAACAGAAACTCCGTGCATGTTTTGACAAGTTTAGTGAGGTAGTCTGTGAGTTCAGATTGAAGAAGAGCAAGTATGATCATTCAGTGTTCTATATACAATCAACAATTGGTATTATATTTCTTATTGTTTATGTTGATGATATAGTTATTACAGGAGATGACCATGCAAGAATATCCTCTTTTAAGTCAATATCTTCTCTCAGGTCATTCTTGCATACCAA